GCTATAAATGTCCACGTGATAAGCCACTTCGTTGAGCTATCACTCGTGGCCAGGTCGTTTCTCAAAAAGAGATACACAGCTCTGTGGGCCTCACCTGGTAAAATAAAAATAGTTCAGTTTAGGATGTATACACACACGTATACAAAAGCCTACCGATGCATGTACACACAAGAATACAACAGCGGCTATTTACCACCAAGTGGCTGTAACCTCACCGCATTGCTTGTACCAGGCTAGGTGCACTGCGAGGCCACGTGACGGGCCAAAGGCTGCGGTTATCTAGACCACGGGAGAGACCCAGGTGCCTTGGGTTGACTGACTTGAGATCACTGGCAGATGCACCATCTGTGCTCCCCGCAGCAAGTTGACACAGTGTGCAGCACGGGCGGTGCATTGGCCCAGTCTATTCGGTCAGTCAACCCACAGCAATCCGTGTCTGTCCCATGCGCGACCTCCGGCCGGCGAGCCTTCGACGCTTCACGTGGCCTCAAGGCGCACCTAGCCTGGCGCAAGCGCCCGCGTCGACGTCACCGGCCGCTCAGTGGTGAACGGCGGTTGTTGTTGTTGTTGCGATTGTTTGTTGTTGTTATCGTCTTCGCGTGCTGTCAGCGGCTTTGATCTCACAAGATAACCGCTGCCGCTTCGAAGGGTCGCGGCGCAAGCGACCCCCTTCCGCTAGCGGGACGCCGAACGGCGCCGACCACCCCCAGCGGTCCTGGTGCCAGGGCGGCCGCGGCCACTCGGAGAAGCCGACTTGCGAACGCGAAGGGCACCGGCTTGTGACCAGGGGGCGCCCTCGGCGGGTTCGACTGGAGGGCGCCAGCGTCGGCCGAGCGCCACACCACCACGCACAAGCTTTACGTGTGCGCTGGAGGAATCCGATGAGACGTTGACTACCTGGCCTGGTACACAGGAGATCATGGGCTCCATCCCGACCCCTGCTGCTGTATATTTGGAGTTTGCGTGTCTCTCTCTCTCATCATAATCACGGTGGCTAGGAGATGTTAACTACCTCGCCTGGTACACAGGAGGTCGTGGGTTCGATCCCGACCCTGACACCTGCTGCTGTATATGTGGAGTCTGCGTGTCCCTCTCTCTCTCCTCCTTTGTGGCCAACTCGCTTCTGAAAAAGAGCCACGGAAGAGCTCAGTGGGGGTGCCTTCGCTGGGAAACTAAAAACATCGTCTTGGCATTCCACGCGGACGGCACTCGGCCACGCGCAAGGGGGAGGCCAACGTCGCATGTACGCGTGACGCGTGATGTACGTACGCGTGACGCGTGATGTACGTACGCACGAAGTACGTACGCATGCACACCGAACCTCTTTCGCACCGTAGCCAACCGCGGCGATCGGAGGTGCGAGGGCCGAGCGGGTTTCACGGGCGGCACCGCCACGGACCGGTGGGGGCTGGGGGGGGGGGCTGGGGGGGGCGGAGGGGGGGCGGCAGCAGGCTCAAGCGAGGAGGCATTCCTGAGACAGCCGTGCCGGGCGGAGATGCGCCCCTCCGCCGTGGCACACGTGGAACGCATCGCAAACGCAAAACCCACGTGGCCCCACCCCACCTCACCCCACCACCCCACCACGACACACAGCGACACATCCTAGCAATCAATAACAAGGTTCCCACACCCGTCGCCTTCGGCCACTGAGCCACGGCAACTCTCTTGCAGAAGCGACCTGGGCTCACGCTGGCTGCACCATCACAAATGATAGCTCAACGAAAGTGGTTTATCATCATCGTCGTCGCGTGGAAATTTATAGCAGCGGCCGAATACTCTAAACGTGTAGTGATGTTGCTTATACATGGAGGGGGAAACCCGGAGGACCTGGAGACAAATCCACGCGACCGCGAGGCGAGAGAGAGACACGCAAACTCCAAATATACAGCAGCAGCAGGCGTCAGGGTCGGGATCAAACCCACGGCCTCTTGTACACCAGGAGAGGTAGTCAACATCTCCCAGCCACCGTGATGATGATGATGAGAGAGACACGCAAACTCCACATATACAGCAGGCATCAGAGTCGAGATCGAACCTACGACCTCCTGTACACCAGGCGAGGTAGTCAACATCTCCAAGTCACTGCGACGCCCGACCGCGGCGTCTTCCGCTCGCTCGACAAAAACTCCCTTCTCCAAACATTGTTTTTGTTCTGCTGACAACGACGAAAAATAAATGTAAATCCGAAGGAAATGTCTCCGGCCACATTTGTTGCGAGCTCACACACACACACACACCCGCCCGCTTGTGCGTGCGTGTGTTCCTCTGTGTGTGTCTGTGTGCCTGCGGGTTGTGTGTGTGTGTGTGTCGGTGTGTGTCGGTGTGTGTGTGTCGGTGTGTATCGGGGTGTGTCGGTGTGTCGGTGTGTGTGTGTCGGTGTGTGTGGTGTAGCGGTAGTGAAGCGGTTATCGCTACGCTACGAATCTGGCGACCCGAGTTCGAATCCCGCTCACGGCCAACACCAGTGATGATTATCTGAACCGGTTATGGGCCTCCCCTAGGTCGACCCGGCCTCAAATTAGAACCTGGTGCAGTGTGTAAACATCGCCACTGGGGAGACAAAGGCGGCCGAGCGTGGTGTTCGTCACCCACCTCCTCGTGCGCCGTGCCGCTATCAGCACTTGCCCCAACAGCCTGTTAAGGCTACACGGGGGATCTTTGTGTGTGGGTGTATGTGTGCCTGTTTCCTGGCAAACTCCAAACAGACTTTCCTGCCTGTCAAAACCACACATATACAAAACGAGACCAAATGTGACTTTGAAGTAGGCTTCGGCAGCGGTGGACTCCTCAGTTGGCCAGAGGTGTCCCCGAGGTGACGAGGAGGAGTGCAGGAGGAGTGAACGAGGTGGAGGGGCAGAGGAGGAGGGGGGTGAGCGCGTGCGACATAGGAGAGCGAGCGGAGTGAGTGTGTGGGGAGAAGAGGGGAGGACATAGGAGGAGCAGATTGCGGACACGATGAGCAGCAGCAGCAGGGGGAGATGGGAGCCGAGGTCATATTCACCAAACTTCTGCCGCAGTCGATCGGCCCCGGCCGGCGCTCGCTCGCTCACCCGCTCGCCCGCTCACCCGCTCGCCCGCTCACCCGCTCGCCCGCACGCCCGCACGCTCGCACGCTCCTTCCAGCGAGAGAGCCGCGCTAGGGAGTGAGCGGGAGCCTGGCGGTCGCTCGCTGTCCTCTCTGTGGCCCACGCCGAGGCGGCTGACGACTTCCTATCGCCCGCCCACAGTGCGCCCGCATGGGGGGTGCGGGCGGGCGGGCGAGTGAGCAGAGGGGGTGCGGGCGGGCAAGGGGGCAAGGGGGGTCTGAGCGGACGAGGGGGGGCGAGCGGACGAGGGGGGGTATGAGCGGACGAGGGGGTGGGCGAGGGGGGGGGGTATGAAATTTCATTGCCTCTGATAACGCCCGGGTTGGGCATCGTTGTATTTATAGAATTGCCGGGAAGTGACACAGGTCCCGTCCAACGTCTCTCGCGAGTTACATTAAATCACGATACTGCAACAATAAAAAATTACAGTAAAACTCCATACTGTCCGTATGTGTTTAACAAAAATAAAAAACTTTTTTTTCCTATTTTTTGTAAAACTGTGGTTTGTGTATGTGGGGGGTGTGTATAGTGTGTGTGGGGTATGTGGTGTGTGGGGTGTGTGTAGTGTGTGTAGTGTGTGATGTGTGTAGTGCGTGTGGTGTGTGTGGTGTGTGGTGTGTGTGTAGTGTGTGTGGTGTGTGTGTAGTGTGTGTGGTGTGTGTAGTGTGTGTGGTGTGTGTGGTGTGTGTAGTGTGTGTGTAGTGTGTGTGTAGTGTGTGTAGTGGTGTGTGTGGTGTGTGTGTGTATGGTGTGTGTGTGGTGTGTGTGTGTGGTGTGTGGGGTGTGGTGTGTGTGTGTGGGGTGTGTGTGTGTGGGGTGTGTGTGTGGTGTGTGGGGTGTGTGGGGTGTGTGTGTGGTGTGTGTATAGTGTGTGTAGTGTGTGGGGTGTGTGTGTATAGTGTGTGTGTAGTGTGTGTGTGTATAGTGTGTGTGTATAGTGTGTGTGTAGTGTGTGTATGGTGTGGGGTGTGTGTGTTTAGTGTGTGTGTTTAGTGTGTGTGTGTGTAGTGTGTGTGTTATGTGTGTGGTGTGTGTGTGTAGTGTGTGTGTGGTGTGTTTAGTGTGTGTGTGTGTGTGTAGTGTGTGTGGGGTGTGTGGGGAGGAAAGCGGAGAAGCCGGAGAACGCCGACCGTCACCCAGGGGGAGACACACCCAGCACGGCCACCGCCTCACAGCGACACGACTACAGCACCTGGCAAGCCGTGGTGGTGATGGTGATGGAGGGTGGGTGGGTGGTGGTGGTGGTGGTGGAGGGTGGGTGGGTGGTGGTGGAGAGTGGGTGGGTGGTGGTGACGGAAAGTGGGTGGGTGGTGGTGGAGAGTAGGTGGGTGGTGGTGATGGTGATGAAGAGTGGGTGGGTGGTGGTGGAGAGTGGGTGGGTGGTGGTGGAGAGTGGGTGGGTGGTGGTGAAGAGTGGGTGGGTGGTGGTGGTGGAGAGTGGGTGGGTGGTGGTGATGGTGATGAAGAGTGGGTGGGTGGTGGTGGAGAGTGGGTGGGTGGTGGTGGAGAGTGGGTGGGTGGTGGTGAAGAGTGGGTGGGTGGTGGTGGTGGAGAGTGGGTGGGTGGTGGTGATGGTGATGAAGAGTGGGTGGGTGGTGGTGGAGAGTGGGTGGGTGGTGGTGGAGAGTGGGTGGGTGGTGGTGAAGAGTGGGTGGGTGGTGGTGGTGGAGAGTGGGTGGGTGGTGGTGGTGGAGAGTGGGTGGGTGGTGGTGGTGGTGGTGGTGGAGAGTGGGTGGGTGGTGGTGATGGTGATGGAGGGTGGGTGGGTGGTGGTGGAGAGTGGGTGGTGGTGATGGTAGTGGAGGGTAGGTGGGTGGTGGTGGGTGGGTAAAGGGTGGTGGTGGCCACCCAACTAAGTACGCTAGTAACCGGGCTCCACGAACCCTGCTTAGCCTGCGAGACCGGATGAGTTACCGGGCGCGAAGGCGGCGATCCCGCGGTAGAGGAGAGCCAACACCGGGCTGGGCTCTGCGGCGTCGCGACCTCTGCAATGCCGTCGTTCCGTGGGAGGCGAGCGGAGCGCCCGAGGAGACCCCACGACCACGGGGGGAGGCAGCGCCCCACCCCTCAAAACGCTACCGGCAAACGAATCGCCGATCCCGCTTGCTGTACCGCCAACCTTCTGGGCCGCGCCGCCCGTTTGCCGTGTGGCCCCGCCGAGGCCTCGCCTCCTCCAGAGCGCCGCGTTCGCAAGAGGGCCCGTGGTTCACAACGGCCACCTCGCCCGCCCCGGAAGGTTATTTGCCACTGATAGGTCGTAAGCGGGAATCAAAATCGGGTGGCAGTGCGCTAAGCACCGTGCCACCGCTCTCTAGAAACACGCGCACACACAACCTCACAGGCACACGCGCACACACACACACGCACACACGCACACACGCACACGCACACACAACCTCATAGGCACACGCACACACAACCTCACAGGCACACGCACACGCACACACGCACACACAACCTCACAGGCACACGCACACGCGCACACGCACACACGCACACATGCACACGCACACACGCACATGCGCACACACAACCTCACAGGCACACGCACACGCACACACAACCTCACAGGCACACGCACACACAACCTCACAGGCACGCACGGCACACACGGCACCCATGTGTAGCCTCAGACTGTTATTGCGAGCGCTGTTAGAATCAGCATCTGTGTGTTAAGACTGCAGCAGGAGAAATCCAAAGAGCTGAAAAGCTCTTTTTCACAGATGTCCAGTAGGGGCACGGGGTCAGAACGTGACAACAACAAACGTGACAACAACAACAATACAAAGTGTCGGAAATAAAAAAAAAACTATTTGTATTTTGCCAGGTAAGACCCATTGAGCTATGGCGCTCTTTCTCAGAAGCGGCTTGGCCACGTGGAAAGTGACAGCAGCCAAACACTCTGAGCGCGCCGTGACGTCGTTTCTAAACGTGGAGGGGAAAACCCCAGGACCCGGAGAAAAATCCACGCGACCACGGAGAGAGAGACACGCAGACTCCAAATATACAGCAGCAGCAGAACGTCAGGGGTCTGGGATCGAACCCCTGACCTCCTGCGTTCCAGGCCTGTTGCAGGCAATCAGGGCGAGTGCCACGAGCGAGCTCACACGAAAGCCGGTGGAATGGCAAAGCGCCGCGCCCGGCTGGCCGGACAAACTGTGCGAGATGTTTGAGTCTCAAGTCGCTTCCAAGTGGCTCCCACCCCACCCTGCACCCCCCTCCCCTGCACCCCCCTCCCCTGCACCCCCCTCCCCTGCACCCCCTCCCCTGCACACCCCCCCCTGTACCCCCCTCCCCTGCACCCCCCTCCCCTGCACCCCCCCACCCCTGTACCCCCCTCCCCTGCACCCCCCTCCCCTGCACCCCCCTCCCCTGCACCCCCCACCCCTGTACCCCCCTCCCCTGCACCCCCCGCCAACAGCAGCACCTGCTACTGCACTAAGACAACGTTGGTTTAACTTGTACACCCCCGGTCTGGAATTTGGGGCATCTCTACAGAGGGCGAAGGGGGTGACCTCTTAAAACAGCAGTCCAGAGGAAGTGACCCCCACCCCCCCCCCCCCCCTTGTCAGAGGATGTGCCCTGGGGCCGGGGGTCAACACCGACCGCGGTGACGCCGACGACGATCCGGGCTGAGCGCGCCGCACACTCCACGACCCCGCCGACCCGAGTTCGAATCCCCGGCGCGTCGAGTCACCGGCTGCTCGTGAGCGCGCGCCGACCGGCACGGCGAAGTTTGGTGAAGCCCCCGCCGCTACGTGACTGGCAAGGCGGGGAGAGATCATCATCCAGTCGTGGATAGACAAAGGGTCGCACGAACGCACGAACAAATAAACAATGACAAAGACACAGACCCCCCGTGTAGCCTTAACAGACTGTCGGGGCAAGTGCTGTTAGCGAGCACCTATGAAGGCCGGCACGGCACACGAGGGGGTGGGTGGCCAGCACGACGCTCGGCCGCCTTCGTCTCCCCAGTGGCAATGTTTACTACACACCACACCGGGTACTCATTTGAGGCCGAGTCGACCTAGGGGAGGCCCAAGACCGGTTCAGATAATCGTCACTGGTGTTGGGCCGCGAGTGGGAATCGAACTGGGGCCGCCGGGTTTGTAGCGCAGCGTAGCGCTAACCGCTGCACCACCGCTCCCCACAGTGACACACACCTACACACACGGGCATACATGCAGTACGTGCATGCGTATTTACACACGACAACAAGAGTAGAAATTTCGATTTAAAGCTTTCGTGACTGCAGGGATTCATCTTCTTGGTTCTTTCGGTAAAGTCACGTAGAAGGGAAATGATAAAACAATAAAAATAAAACATTAAATAATTCTCACGACGTTTCGGCCACAACGCAAGCAGCCGTCCTCAGGTGAAGAACAGGTCTGTCGGGAAGACAGCGTCTGAGTAGAAGCCGTTCGCCACTATTCCGCGGTGACGCAGCGCTTGTGCCAGGCTAGGTACAGACCCTGCAGGTGCCACGGGTCGACTGACTGAGATGAGTGGCCGATGCACCACCGGTGCCTCCCACTGTGCCAACTCGCTGCAGTTTTATCCGCCGGGGCGCTCCGCTCGTTGTTGTGAGCGTCGCTCCTCATGCCCTCCGTTGTAGGGGTTCAAAGTGCACCGACGCTGGCACTGCCCAGTAGTGTCACAAGCCTCCTCCACAGACGCCAATGTTGGCACTTGCTGTTGCCACTCATTGGCAAGTCACTCCACTAATGAACCAAAATACCACGACGACTAAAACAACAACAAAGACAAAGGTCCCCCGTGTAGCCGTAACGGACTTTTGGGGGCAAGTGCTGTTAGCGAGCAACGCCTATGACCTATGAAGGCCGGCACGGTACAAGGGGGTGGGTGGCCAGCACCACCACCCGGCCGCCTTTGTCTCCCGAGTGACGAATTTGAGGCCGAGTCGACCTAGAGGAGGCCCAGGACCGAGCGGGAACCGAACTCGGGTCACCGGGTTCGCTGTGCGGCGCGCTCACCACTGCGCCACCGCTCCCCACCACAAAGCAACAAGACACACACCCACACCCACACGTGAACACACACACACGTGAACACACACGTGAACACACACACACGTGAACACACACACCCACACGTGAACACACACACACGTGAACACACACACGTGAACACACAGACACGTGTGAACACACACACACGTGAACACACAGACACGTGTGAACACACAGACACGTGTGAACACACACACGTGAACACACACGTGAACACACACACGTGAACACACACACGTGAACACACACACGTGTGAACACACACACGTGAACACACACACGTGAACACACACACACGTGAACACACACACACGTGAACACACACACACGTGAACACACACACGTGAACACACAGACACGTGTGAACACACACACGTGAACACACAGACACGTGTGAACACACAGACACGTGTGAACACACACACGTGAACACACATGTGAACACACACACACACGTGAACACACACGTGAACACACACACGTGAACACACACACGTGTGAACACACACACACGTGAACACACACACGTGAACACACACACGCGTGTGAACACACACACGTGTGAACACACACACGTGTGAACACACACACACGTGTGAACACACACACACGTGTGAACACACACGTGAACACACACACAGACACGTGAACATACACACACGTGTGAACACACACACACGTGAACACACACACGTGAACACACACACGTGAACACACACACGTGAACACACGCACACACACACGTGTGAACACACACACACGTGTGAACACACACACACACGTGAACACACGCACAGACACGTGAACATAGACACACGTGTGAACACACACACAGACACGCTGACACGCACGCAGGCTCCCTTAACACGTGGTACTGCTCAGCGTGTGGAAACTCGCACTGATTGTCTAAGTTTTTTTTTTCCAGGGCAGGGCGTGTTCTCTAGAGACCAGTGACATAACGGAACTCGCAAGCGCAGACGGGATGGGAGTTGCGTGTGTGTGTGTATGTGTGTGTGTATGTGTGTGTGTATGTATGTGTGTGTATGTATGTGTGTGTATGTGTGTGTGTATGTATGTGTGTGTGTATGTGTGTGTGTATGTGTGTGTATGTGTGTATGTATGTGTGTATGTGTGTGTGTATGGGTGTGTGTATGGGTGTGTGTGTGTGTATGTGTGTGTATGTGTGGTAGTGTAGCGGTTAGCGTGCTGCGCTATGAACCTGGCGACCCGGGTTCGATTCCCGCTCACGGCTAACACCAGTGACGATTATCTGAACCGGTCCCGGGCCTCCCCTAGATCGACTCAGCCCTAAATGAGTACCTGGTGCGGTGTGTAAACATCGCCACTGGGGAGACAAAGGCGGCCGGGCGTGGTGCTGGCCACCCACCCCCTCGTGTGGCGTTCCGGCCTTCATAGACGCTCGCTAACAGCACTTGCCCCTACAGTCTGTTAAGGCTATACGGGGGATCTTTGATCTTTGTATGTATGTTGGATACATTTAGGCTGGCCTGCCTACGATCCATCCTGGATTTAACCAGGCTTGGATTGTGTGAGGAGCTCACAAATCCTTGAAAGATCTGGGCAAAGTCCCATCGGTGAGCTCCTCCGGCAGGCAAGGCTGCGTTGGCTGGGTCATGTAGCCCGCATGCCCAGCCACCGCATGCCTCAACAGCTTTTGTTCGGCCGGATCGAGGGGGCTAAACGGGCGCGGCACGGGCTAGAGAAGAGATGGAGTGATGTGGTACAGGAGGACGTGGAGCTGAGTGGACTTGCCGATGACTGGTACCAGCGGTGTCAAGATCGGCCTCTGTGGAGGAGGCTCGTGAAGGACGCTACTGGGAGTTGGAGGCAGTCGCCCTCCAGCAACAACGGAGGGCGGAGGAGCGACGCTCACAACAACGAGCGGAGCGCCGGGTGGCTAAAGCACAGCAAGTTGGTACAGTAGGGGGCACAGGTGGCGCATCAGCCAGTCATCTCGGTCATCTCGGTCAGTCCACCCGTGGCACCTGGGTCTGCCCCGTGACCTCCTGCCAGCGGGCGTTCGACACTTCACGTGGCCTCAAGGTGCACATGGCCTGGCACAAGCGTCGTGGTGACGTCACCGCCACTTAGTGGCGAATGACGGT